GTTCCCGATAGCCGCAGATTCTAAATCCGTTGCCTTAACATCACGCTGCTCGATCAGTCTTCCAACCATGTCGTAAACCTTAACATTCACTACCGATTGGCTCTTGGTCTTAACATCAATCATGAAGTTCGATGCGAACGGGTTCGGATAAGCCGTAGCACTGAAGGGAACCTCTGCCATACGTCCTGATGGCGTTGGAACCAGCGTAAAGCTACATCCTTTAGTCTCTTCTCCGTATTTGCCCATTACGGCAACCTGTACTCCCCAGGCGTAGGTAACACCTTCCTGGTTGGTCGGGGTAGGAAGACCCGGAACAGAACTAAGCACCAGACTGTTGGTATAAACCACTTTACTATAGCGCGCTACCGAATTGACTATTCTCGTCATACTGCTCTATGAAAAAGTTGTATGAACTCGCATTTGGATGCGCATCCACTGTTAAACTACCCGATTTGGTAAGCGTAGGATTGTTGCACATTCCATCCTGGATCGTGGTAAATGGACCCTCAGGGGTAGTAATGCTGCACACAGTAACCACCGGACTGGTAGAATTGTTGCGTACCGCTTGTACCGTTACCGTATAAACCGTGTTGTACTCCCACGTAGGAACTGAAGTCATTGAGAAATAATTAACAGTACGCGTTAATGAAAACTCAGGATTGGTTCCGTCGTTAATCTTGAATACATAATTCGATGCTCCGTAAACAGGATCTGCAAAAATGACAGTAGCCGCATTTGCCAATAACTGATCGCATTGCGATGCCCTTACCGCCGTGCTTGGGATAGCCGGGGTAGTAAGGATACAGCCTGCGCTCTGAGGACCAACCTCTGAACCTTTGGTAACCCTAACCTTAATGGTATAGCTCGTTCCATAGTTCCAGTTGGTGATGCTGGTAAGGTAGAAATAAGGAACCGAACGGTTGACGATAACCCCATTCACTCCAGGACCCGTAATCTCAAAAGCATAATTCGTAGCTCCAGGAACGGTGGTGGTGAAAACAGGGCTCGATACCGTAGCCATCTGCGTACCACACGCCACAAGGCCTGGGGTAGACAATTGTGGGGTGGTAACCGTACATGGGACTGTTCCAAAACTGCCGAATGGCTCATTATTGATCTTAACGGCCACATAAACCGTATACGAAGTATTGTAAGTCCATGATGGAAGGTTGCTCAGGTAGAAATAATTAACATCCCTAACTACCGTACTGATTCGCGTGCTGCCCTGGAATACGTCAAAGCTGTAACCCGTAGCTCCCGGAACCGGTGCTGCAAAGATAGGGCTGTAAGCATCCGCAAGGGTACTGCCGCAATACGTAGACTGAACCGTAGCCGGTGGCACTGTAGCCGGTGTAGTAATGACACACGCTGCGCTCTCCGGTTGTACAACCCCGTTGATAACGGCTGAAACATACACCTCAAAGCTCGTATTGTAAGCATAAAGGCTGGTCTGGGTAAGGCTAAAGCTTGGAGTGCTTCTCAAGGCTAGAGTCTGTGAAGCACCGCCTACCTTTTGAACCCTGAACTGGTACTGAACCGTTGGGTTTCCGCTAACCACTGCAGTGGTGCTGTAGATCGGTGTCGTTAAGAACGGAAGCGTCTGCCCGCAGTAATTAGAGATATGGACCAGAACAGCGCCGCTTACCGTATTGGTAATGCTGTTGCTGTTAGCCGTAGAAGCCTGCATGCACGTTCCGCCTGTTACAGCGATTGAAACAGTAACCTGCTGCTGGTCTGAGATAGCAGTTGTGGTAAATGCATTGGAAGAGCCGCTTTGTCTGGATATTCCATCGACCTTGAAGTCATATACGATACCCGTATTGCCCGATACACCGGAAGCCGTAGCCGTAAAGGTGACACTCGTGCCATATGCAAAAGTATTATCCGAATCAGTGCTAGTTAAAACAACGGTTGGCGTTTGAAGCGGGTTGACTGTGACGGTTAAATTTCTTGCTGTACTTGGCCCTGCTGAATTAACAGCCACCACAGAAATTGTACCTCCTGTAGAACCTGCAGTAACGGTGATAGAAT